GCCTTTCCGTGGGAATTGCGCGTTGCTATGATGCTGGGCAGGTGTCCGTGGAATTTGCAGGCGACAACACTAAGACAGACGTGGAAGACAAGTCTCCTGGAGACCACAGCAGTTGAACGTGCTTCTGATGGCCAGGTTGGCCCTGCACCGGGCACCCTTTGGTTCTGTGGGCTCATGGGGCCCCCAACTGAAATCAGCTAACACAACCTCCTACCCACCCTTGTGGCCCCGGGCACTCAGGAGCTCAGCAAGTCTCCTCTTCTCGGTCCCGAGATACATAGATTTCAGCCACCCCCATCTCTTTTGTTCCCTTTGTTAACCCAAAGAGGAAACCGAGGTACAGAGACGCGGGGGAATGTTGAGGGTCACATAGCCAGGAAGCGGCCAAGGCAGAACAAAGACATCCTTCTCATATCTGTATTGCAACTGGTGGTTCATATTCATTCCCACCCCCCCTACCTACCTTTAAAACACATTCTCAATGCTTCAAACAGCAGCTATAATCCCTGGTGCTGGGAGGTAGAGAGACTGAGGCGATCCCTCACACACAGGTGGCTGCACACGTAGTTGCTCAGAGCATGAAGGGCTGTGATCCTGTGAGGAGGCAGGTTGGCAGCATCTATCAGAACACTTCGCACGAATGTCCTAGTTACCAGGCAACTGCACTGCCAGAGAGGGTTCGTACAAATAAATTCACCTGCATATGCAGAGAGGGAGGAACAAGGGGCCTATTTTGTCCCAGACTGAGAGGGGCTGACCTCAAGGCTTATCCTTAGGACTGGTGAGGCACAGTTTTGCTATACCCCATGAGAAGTATTATAAAAACCCAAACAAAAAACTCACTGCCATCGAGTCTCAGGAGCCCTGTGGAACAGAGTGAACTGCCCCATGTGAGTTTCTGAGATGGTAACTCTTTCCCCAGTGAAAGTATTACACAGCCCTGAAAAAGGAGGGATCCACAGCAATTTACACACCCACGAACAGTGTTCCTGAGTGGCTAGTTCCCAAAACTTGTTTTCCAACTTAAACATCTTTACCATTTTGATAGGGAAAGAAAGGACATTTTGTCAGTTTTACTTAACACACTGCTATGGAGTCCTGACTCATAGTGACCCTATAAGAGAGAGCAAAGTGGTCCCTTTGGGTTTCTAGGGCTGTACATTTTCATGGGAGAAGACCCGCCCCCGCAAAAAACAAAACCTCACTGCCATTGAGTTGATTCAGGCTCGTAGTGACCTTACAGGGCAGAGTGAACTGCCCCTGTGGGTTCACTAGACTTTGAATCTTTGAATCAGAGTAGACAGCCTCATCTTTCTCCCTCCAAGCGGCTGGTGGGCGTGAACTGCAGACCTTGTGGTTAGCAGCCTAACGCTTGACCCACTGTGCCTCGAGGATACCCTGTTGGTTTTACTTACACCTGTAAAAGATGAGCGAGGGTGAACATTGGTCCAGAGGACTGCTGGTCATTTCAACTGATTTTTCTGGGAAGTTCTTTTACATAGCTTTTGGCAATTTTTATGTTAGGTTTTTTCCTTCCAAAAACAATATTTTATTGTGGTGAAGGTGAAACTGTACCCAACAGATTAGCTTCCCATTGAAAAATGTTCCGCCTACTTTATTCAGTGACATGGGCTACATTTTCCACCGCATGTCATTATTCTTGCTGATTCTGTTCTGGTTGTACTGGTTCTGGTACTTTAGTTTCCCCGCCCCTTATCGACTCTTCTTTGGTTTAGGGTACCTTTTGTACCACCGAGCCTCATAGAAAATAAAAAATGCCAGTGCCGAGATGCTTCCACCACCACTGGATCCACAAGACTTTCCACCCATTGGCCTGTGATCTCCCTGCCTTCGGCATCATTGCACGTGTTGCATGAGTCTGAAGAGGACTTTATGGACTGGTATCGGACATATGGGCTAATATCAGACTTATGGACTTGATCTGGACTGGGCTGTCTTCTCAAGATATAATTACTCTTTATATAAAGCTCTTTCGTACACAAAAAAGGAAAGAAAATCAAACTCAAACCAAACCCATGGGCTCTGAATTGATTCTGACTCACAGTGACCCTGGGATCAAGCAGAACTGCCCCACAGAATTTCCAAGGCTGTGAATCCCCCAGGGCAGACTGCTTCTGCTTCTGCCGTGGAGCAGGAGCAGCTGATGGGCCCAAACTGCAGAGAGTAGGGTGAGCAGCTGAGCGCTTACCTGCTGCTGTGCTGCTGGGGTGCCTTCTGATGCCAGACAGTAAGCGATTTTTTAAAAACGAAGCTCATTAATCATGGGGCGTTCTCTATTTCATGAACCAACCTGTTATTCAGTGAAAAGGCGACCTCAAAGATAATTTCCATTTAAAGTTTATCTCAAAGCAATGGTCTTAGGGCATCCTTTAGGCTAATTTGGTCCAGGAAGTCTAGATCTTAAAAATTAGGTGGGGGTGGGGGGTGGGTTCTGTTCCACATGGTTTTGCTTCATCTCCATCGATCGGACCCTAATCAGAGTAGCTGGGCACCGTCTAGTTCCTCTGATGTCAGGGAAGGGAGGTTGCAGTTCCTGTCTGGTCCTGAGTCTTGTAACGCTTCTTTCTTCTCTGAAGCTTTGGTTTCTTTGTGACTTTACTGTTCCAGGCACGTAGAAGCCAGAGCGCATCTCAATGGACACTTAAGACCCTGGACACTATTTGTCACACTGACATGGAACGTATCCACTTTATCCACGGTCTTACATGCCGGCAAGCTGAGTCATCCCATGAGAGAGGGTCCTAAACCTTCAAATCCAGAAAACCAAGCTCACCAGATATTTGGTTCTATCTAAAATTATGTGAAGTATTAGGACGTTCCCTCATTGCCTTATTTGAGTATTTTATAGATCAACGCTATCGATCCCATGAAATATCTTTCACTAGTTAGATTTTTTTCTGGAGCCTAGCTTTTTTTTAATTTAGAAATTAAAATTTTTGACGTAATAGGATTTTTTTAAACTTTTGTATTTTTGTTACAGACCCCCTCTCCCCCCTCCAAATACCATTGTGTCCATTACAACTCCCCTACAACGCTATGTAGTGTCACTGAGACCTTTAAATCTTGGCAGGAGCAGAGGGACCCATAGAAGAGGTTTAGAGTAGTTAATCAGCTCTCCGTCTGCGCCCAGTTTCTCCGGTCATTTTAAGGCTTTGAAGGATCCCATTCTTTCAGAGACCTGGCCAACATTCACTTATCCTTCTGGCCAGGTTTTCTAGGATCTTGTGTAAAATCTATATCCAGATGTCCCAGTCTCCGTGAATACGAGTGTAGACGTACGTGTGTGTTTTAATGTGATGTCCCAACTTCATTTATTGGACATTCTTTCCTTTGTTCATTCCCAGGTATTAACTGTTTTATATAAAAAAGCTAGTTTCTCTGCTTTCCACTTGCCACTTATTTTTAGTACTGGAAAGGGCTTTGTGCTTTTTTTTCCCTTCACAAATCTTTGGGGTTTCCCACCCACTGAGCCTCCTCTCTCCCCACCATCCCCCAAGTTCCATGATGGCTCCTGGGGTCTGAATTCAGCTCAGCAGGTGTGTTCTCTTCCAAGCTTATAAACACGCTCACCTTGGCGTCCTTTCAGGCTTCTTCTGGTTCACATCTTCGGTTTAAATATGGAATTTACTTTGGTATAAGAGGTGAGGAAGGGATTCCACTCTACTTTTTCCAGATGACTCTCAGCACCATGCTTTGAATAACATGTCTTCTCCCTTTGTGTCAGTCTGGGTGGACTAGAGAAACAAATCCAGAGGCACTCATATATGCGTCAGAGAGAAGCTTTATATCAAAGAGTAATTGTATATGTATTAAGAAAACATCGCAGCCCAGTCCAGATCAAGTCCTTCAGTCCGATATTAGCCCATAGGCCAGATATAAGTTCATAAATTCTTCTTTAGACTTCGCAGCACATGCAATGAGGCTGAATGCAGGAGGATCATGGCCAGTGGGTGGAAAGTCTTGTGGATAAAGTGGCGGTGAAAGCCTCTTAACGTTGGCGTGGGTCTCCACGTGGCTCCTCCAGCTACAGGGCTCTGGCTCCATCAGCCTAGCTCCATGTGGCTTGTCAGCAGGAAGATGAAGCAGAGAGTGTGGGTCTGACCTCCAGTGAGTCTTTATCTGTTTGGCCTCCAAATGAGGTCATCAAGCTGCGATCTGATTGACAGGCTAAGCCCCACCCCTTCACTCTTAATAGTCTCAAGTTGACGCCAGATGATGTAACTGATACCCTCTGATATAAGATGTGTCCTTTCCCTCCTCCCCCCTCCCTCCATTTCTTCACATGCTCAATTCCCACATCTGTTCCCATCCGGCTCTGCACTCTGGGCTGGACTGTCTGTTTCTTTTCCAAAACACCAAACTTTAGAAATCATTGTGCTTTCGCAGGACGTCTTAACATCTGCTCCAGCCAGCCTGCCTTCACTCCTTTTGTTTTCCCTCAGAATTCCCCTGGCTGACCTCACGGGTTTATTTTTCCAGAAGAAACTTGGTATCATTCTGTCAAGTTCCCCAAAGAAAAACAAAACAGAACACAACCCCCAACCCTGTTGGTTCTCGGACTTGTCCAACCAGCAGGCAGACGTTCTTTCGACATTATTGGTAGAAACGTTTGCTATTCATATCAGTCCCCCCACCTGCGTTTATTTAACCTTTTTAAAAAAGTTGTATATAAGATCTTTTCAGTTTTAAATCTCTATTCCCTTTTGAAAAATAATCTCCTCCACTTTGAGACACACAGCCTCACATACAGTGATAGGTTCGACTTAATGTCGAGGCAGAGGGACAAAAGAAGACCCCAGAGGTTCACCCAACCCCACGGGTTCAGTTGTTCGGGGACTTTCACCGGAGAGGGTCGGGTGCTGGTGAACTAGATGGAGCGCCCACATGGCCGCTGTCACGGTGGGATCCTCAGAGGCCCAGCTGGATTCTCCTCTAAGCCTCCCCTTGGACTTGTACCTGATTTTATCCCCAGCTCTCACCTGCACCCACGGGCTCACCGACCGGCTTCTGCTTCTCTGCCGGGCATCTCTTCATCCGGAAAGTCTGGGGAGAGGATGTGGGAGTGGGGAGGCCATGCTCAGATCATGGCGGATGGAGCTCCTTGCTAGTGCTGTCAGGCACCATTAAGTTGGTTCTGACCCGGAGCGACCTTACCCACAAGAGCGAAACACTGCGCCGTTGTCCTGCGCCATCCTCACAATTGCTCCTGCGCTTGGCACATTGTTGCAGCCACGGTGTCAGGCCATCTTGTGGGGGGCCTGCCGCTCTGTCACTGCTCCTCTGCTTTAGAAAGCATGACGTCACTCTCTAGGGACTGGTCACACATCCAAAGGTCACGAGATGGAGTCTCACCGTCCTGGCCTCTAAGGAGCATCCTGGCTGCGCTTCTTCCAGACAGGTCAGCTTGTCCATGTGGTGGTTCCTCTTGTTTCCGAGATGCTTCAGCACCATTCGAACCCACCGCACCTCCCGTCTTCTTTGAGATTACAGCCACGCCAGCTCGACAGAGGGACAGGCAAGTGGTGGGGAGTGTTGCTAGGTGCGTCTGAGAGCTTGCTAAATGCCATTGCTCCAGAGACCCGCTCCTTCCACACGTGCGGTTTTAGTCCGTTCTTTTGAGACTCGCTTCGCTTTTGTGAAACTCACTTCCATTGACTCAGTCCGACTCCTGGTGTCCCTGTAGGGCAGGGAGAACTGCCCCCATTGGTTTCTGAGACTCTAACTCTTTAGGGGAGTAGAAAGCCTCATCTTTGTCTCTTAAAGCAGCTGGTGGTTTTGAACTGCTGACTTCTCAGTTGGCAGTCTGATGCGTCATCACTCCATCGATTTTTTCAGCCTGTGGACTACATCTGCTTAAAAAAAACGTGTATTGACTACTTTTCTAACTACTTTTCTGATTTTTGTTTTTGTTTTTCATTACTGTGGTGGGGACATACCCCAATCCAACCATTTCTACACGTAGGGAGTCTGCTGATGTTCTTCAAGCTGCACAACCATTATTGCTGTCCTTTCCAACCGATTCCGCCACCATCGTGAGCATAGAGCCAATGTCCCTGTGCACAAAAGCCCCCCTTGCCCCCCTCACAGCCTTGCCCACCAGGAATCATCTGGGGTTTCTAGGTAGTTGATCATGACCTTGGTGAGACCATGCCATCGTTGTTCCTACCTGACTTACTTTACTCGGCATGTTGTTTTCAGGTTCATTCGTGTGGCGGTGCTCACTGGGACTTTCACGTGTGTTCATGGCAGAGTCATGTTCCGTCATGTGTGTGGACCACATATGTACACCCACTTGCCCACGGATGGAGTTTTCCATGACTCCCACCTGTTGGTGATTTGGAAAGGGTTGCAGGGAACATGAGTACAGGTTTCAGTCCTCACTTGGTGTACATGGGACGCGGTTTGCCATTGGCTGCTAACCTATTCTTTGTGCACAGCTACTGGCCTACAGGGTGGGAGCTGAAACTCACCAGCAGTGCCACAGACGAAAGGGCTGGTGACCATCTGCTCCCAGCAGGGTTACAGCCACGCAAACCCAATGGCACAGGGTTCTACTGTGGAACACACAGGGCTGCCAGCAGTTGGAATCAGTTTGGTGGCCCACAACCACAACATCTCAGATGGAAACTGCTGGGTCATATCATGGCCGGCTGGAAGAATGAAGAAGTCTTGTGTTAGACTGGTTGACTAGAGAAACAAATCCAGAGACACTCAGATAAGTATAAGAAAAGAGCTTTATATCAAAGAGTAATCCTATATTAAGAAAATATCCCAGCCCAGTCCAGATCAACTCCATAAGTCTAGCATTAGCCCACAAGTCCATTACTAGTCTAAATCCCTCTTCAGACTCATGCAGCACATGCAATGATGCAAAAGGCAGGAGCATCACGGGCAGGTGGGTGCAACGTCTTGTGGATCCAGTGGCAGTGAAAGCATCTCCAGGGCTCTCACAGACCTAAGAATGGCTCCATGGGTCTTGTCAACAGGAAGACGGAGGCGGAGAGAGGAAGTTCCCAGAATCCTCATGGGAAGGCCACACCCACACGGAGGCATCATTAAGCCTGATTGACAGGCTAGACTCCACTCCTACCTTTCTTTATCAAGTTTACATGATAAACTTGGAAGAAGTACAGGCAGCACGCTCCTTAGAAGCAAGGATAGGACTGTACTTTGTAAATGCTCTCAGGAGGGACCAGTCCCTGGAGAAGGGCATTGTGCTTGGGAGAGGGTCAGCTAAAAAGAGGAAGACCCTCTGTGAGATGGATTGACACAGTGGCTACAACAATGGGCTCCAATAGAGCCAACAATTAGGATGGCACGGGACCGGCGGTTTCCTTCGATGGCGTATAGGGTCGCCATGAGCCCAGACTGACTCGATGGCACCTGACAAGCAACAGGCCTCTCCTGGCATACGTCCATCGTCATGTGGGCATCTTCCCTCTGCACTTGTCTCCGTGTGCTTTCTCCTCTCCAGTGAGATGCCACTCACGGTGCATGAAGGATTGACCGTTTGCAACGTGATGTCGGTTCTGTTCCTAAGGTTCCAGTGACTGGTTCCTGTGAAGCAGACAGCCATTCCTTCTTCGCAGCCTGCTCCTAGGCTGGAAGTTCTTCTCAGGCCTGTTCACCTTAGGTGGCTGGCCCTGCTGACATTTGAGATGTGGGTGACAGCGCTTCCAGCATCATAAGAACATACAAGCCACCACAGTGTGACAAACTGGCAAGGAGCTGAATAGGAAGACCGAAGAAGAATCGCGGCATTTGCACGATGGCGCTGGCCAAGGATTGTGATCGTACCACGAACCGCCTGGAGAACAGATAATTCTCCTTGGAAGAAGTAGGGCCAGGATGTTTCTTAGAGGCCAGGATGGTGAGACTTCATCTCACGTACTTTGGACTTGTCAGGAGAGACTGGTCCCTGGAGAAGGACATCATGCTTGGTGAAGTCGAGGGGCGGTGACAAAGAGGAAGGCCTTCAATGAGATGGATGGACGCAGTGGCCGCAACCATGGGCTCAGAATCCGAACAGTGGTGAGGACGGCGCAGGACCGGGCAGTGTTTCATTCTGTGGTGCACAGACTCGTTGTGGGTCGGAACCTACTCGCTGGCACCCAATTACCACCACAAGAAGAGGAAGCAAGGACAATGTTCTGCAGGGCGAGGAGAGAAGGCATAATGGGAGCAGGAGACTCAGGGAGGAGGCAGGGTAGGTGATGTTGCCTCGAGGGGAGGGAGATCAGTGGGATGGAGCACAATGTGTAGGACTTGTTGAGTGTAAAACTGCCCCGCGGCGCTGTAGACCTTCACCCAATTCATAATCCAAACAGGTTTTAAAAGTTAAAGAACTATGTAACATCGTTGTCAATGGCTTGCATGTACTATTTCTCCAACGGGGTCTTAGTTCTCTCATGATGTTGTCACAGCGGGTGGCTGGACAAATGTCACAGTGGGTGGCTGGACAAACGTGCTGTAGGCTCGACGTGCGGATTCAGACACCCAGCTCTCAGGTTTTCTTTCTGCCAACTCGGGGACAGTCCGGGTCTCCCTTCCACCAGTGGGCCTGGCATTCCTTGGAGATCCGTGTGTCTTGGCCTCCGTCTTTTCCCTGGTCCAGGAGGTTCTCAGCGCAGGGACCCAGGCCAAATGCTCCACCCCGGCTCTCCCTTCTTGGTTGAAGTGGGTCTCTCTGTCTCCGCTCACATCTCTCTGTGTTCATCTCTTTTCTAAGACACACTGCCTGACTCTGAGGCAGCGGAGGGTGGAGACTTAAGGAAGGCAGTAGTTAAAGGGTGCAACTCAAGACACACCCCACCCTGATCTCGCTTCATAGGTTTTGCAAACTGCCAAACCACTGAGAATCTTGACCTAACCAAGTCAACACATATCGGGGGCATCATTCCAACCCTGGGAGTCCGGTTGGTATAGTGGTTATGAGGTGGCCTGCGATCCAGAAGGTGAGCAGTTTGAAACCACAATCCTCCCAGAGGAAGAAAGACAGAGCTTTTTACTCCTGTATGGAGTTACCATCTCAGAAACCCATAGGGACAGTTCTGCCCTGTCTTATAGGTTCCCCACGATGGCAGTGAATATGGTTTTTATTCCAACCAAGGTCGGTTATAGGAAAATGAACAAGACTTGTATAAAATATTTCTACATTGAATCACAGCACTGTTAGTCACCGTATTGTTAGTAACTGAGCAAAATCATCAAACAATATTTTTCTTCCTTTTTCTTTGACTGGTAACTTTATTCTCAAAAAAGGCCCTGGTACAGCAAAGTGCGGTGAAGAAACTCGATGGTGCCAGGTTTCAGAAAGAATGGGGTCTGGGGTCTTAGAGGCTTGTCTTCAAGCAAGCAGCCCTCCACGTGAGGTGGTAACTACTTCCACGTGGCAGAAGCACCCAGCCCGTGTGATCCAGGGCTTGTAAAGAATATAATCCAAATATGAAGGAGAGAAGGGTATCAGAGCTTAAATTATGAACATCTGGCTTGCAGAAGACGTCGGATGACAGTGAAAGCCCAAAATGCGTTTGCAGGGTCCACCCATGGGTTAAGTCTCCGTGAAATCCCCTCTGATCCTAGTGGATGGATGTGAGCAGCCCTGTTATCAGACAAAGAGTATTGTAGAGTCGATTATGGAAGATGTAGTTAGGTTATCATTTGATCTCCCCTTTGACCAATTTTAATGATGTTTCACTGTTTTTTGAATGTGAAGGAAATACACATGGATGAAGCCCCTGGTGAATCTCCTATGACCGTGGACCAGGGATGTGAATAGTCTTGCTATCATGCAGAATGCACTGCGAAGTGGATCGCCGAAGTTTCAATTAGATTAATATTCTATCTCCCTTAGAAGCCACTTAAATTTGTTCTAGTCTTTAATATTTTCTGCTTTTTTTCTGATTGAGTTTTTTTCTGTTTTACTTTGTTCTTATGGTTAGGTTTTTAAAAAATGTTTTTCTGGCTATGAAATCCAGGAGAGGTAAATCGGTGGAGACAGTATCTGGATTAATGGTTCCCTGGGGGTGTGGCAGGGGAAGTCGGGGAGCAAATAACGAGGAGTACACATTGTTAGGTCGGGTTGACTAAAGAAACAAATCCAGAGACATGCATATATTTATAAGAGACAGCTTTATATCAAAGAGCAGTTGAATATTGAGAAAACATCCCAGCCCAGTCCAAATCAAGTTCTTAAGTCCAGTATTAGCCCATAAGTCTGAGACTAGCCCATAAATTCCTCTTCAGACTCATGCAGCACATGCAATGATGCAAAATGCAGGAAGATAAAAAATTGGTGGGTGCAAAGTCTTGTGGATCCAAGGTCCACGGAAGCTTCTCAGCGCTGGCGCGGCTCTCCACGGGCCCCTCTGCTCTCTGAGCGTGGCTCGTCAACAGGAAGGTGAAGCAGAGAGAGAGGCTCTAGAAGGTCCCAGCAAGTCTCTGAGTGGCTT